TCTTTTTTTTATAAAATGATTAAAAATTTATATTCTTTTATTTAACTCTACTTTTTATTATTAAATTGTTAAATTCTTTTATTGATTTTTCTTATCCTTAATTATAATTTTAATTTAAATTAATTTTAAATTATTTTTAAAACTTTAAACCTTCAAAGTTTATATAATTTATTTATAAATCTTACATTTATGTTATTTTAATTCTATTAACTTCTTTAAATTTACAATTTAAACATATGTTTGAAAACTAGATTTAATACAAACTTTCTATGTAAACGATTTGTAAATTGAGTCGCACATTATCCGAGATAGAATTGCTCGGCTGTGTATCGTACAATCATACGGATATTTTCATGTTACGAGTCCTTCAATTAGAATATCGTATTTTTCCGCAGCGAGATATTTTCCTACGATTTTCATCGATGTAACAGGATACGAAGATGGATGCTTACTTTTTCGACGAGATACACACGACGGCATGTTTGTTCCAGAAATACTTCGGCGGATACAGTATCGTCGCGGTGTTATCAAGGATCCCGTCCCCATTTGCGATCGACAGAAATCAAATATTGAGATCGCCTCGGGAAGTTATTACTCGGCGAGTTTCGTCTTTCCGCTCGTACTTTATCGCGGCGCTTATCTCAGGTTTCTCTCGTTTCGAATTTAGAAGCCGGAGAGATTTTCCGCGATCGCGTACCATAGGTCGGCAATTTTTCCGGATTTCCAATTGCCGTTTCCAAATACGAACGGTGAATTTTTCACGTCGTTCGTTCGTTTACCGAATTGCTAGCAGTGCTCGTAGCGTGCAATGGAGAAAATTAACTTTTACGCCGCGACGTTTAACACGTGGCGTTACGTCAAAATGGAAAAAAAATCGAGATATATAAACTATACAATATTCTTGTATAATATATAAGAATATTCAAGATGCATTTTTTTTAAACAAGCGATTCGTATCATATTTTACGCATTTTTCTCGTTCCACCCTCCTTCCTCTTGGGATCTCGACAAGGGTTGCGAGACTGCATTTTGCTATACACAAGCTCGCTGCATCCAGGGTTGTATCCCCCTCTTTGACGGAGAAAGAGAGGGAAACACGACACCACGCAAAAATATTATATCGGATATCGATATGTCGCGCGATCAGATAAGGGCCCCGAGAGGACCCCGCTGACTCGGTCGTTTTTCGTTTAGCGATGGAATCGCGGTTCGCTTCTATTTTCGCAATATTTCGATGACTCAACCGTCAGACGGACATTCTCGGAGGGGTGGCGTGTCCTGTTTCCGTCTCTCTTTGTAGAGAAACGACACTCGAGATGATCGCGAAGAATTCCTCAGGCGCTTCCGGAGGGAGGAGGTAAGATCGTCTTGGCACAGATTGGCGATCGGTCAACGAACTTGCTTCTTTCAAATTTTAATCATCTTGGACTATTATCAAAAACTTGTTTTATCTTCGCTCTTCGCACATATAAGTTTCTAATAATAAATAATGTATTTTACATGTATCGGAGAGAATAATATAATAATTATAAAGGGTGTCTACTCAAATCTTGTAAAAAGATTCCTTCATTTTCATGATATTTTTATTCAAAATTTCAGAGAGAATATTATATAATATTTCAAAGATTTTTTTTATACAATTTTCTAAAATAAATTTGTTTACTGCATGCGTTTTCTGATGTTTCTCATTTATAGGAAATAACAAGAACCTTTTAAGTTTTAAATGTCAGATTTGTAAATGTACTGAAAAAAACTGAATAGTTTTTTCGCAAGATAAACATTTTTCACTTCCATAATATTTTTATTTATCATTAAAAAAATTACGATAAAGAATATATGTAAAGAGAAAGATATATTTACATTTTAAACATTAATAATTCTCTTGTTGACTGTTACAATAAGAGCAAAATTTAAAAAAATTCTCTAACTCTCAATAAAATTCCATAAAAATTTTTTAATTTTTCAAGTATAAAAGAAATTCAAGTTTTTCATGTTTTTCCGGGAGTAGACACCCTGTATAACAATGAATAAGTATAGAATTAATTATACTATAAAATTTAGTTTGACGCTTTTTCAATAATTTGCCTTTTAATCGAGATATTATTCATATCTGTATATACCATGTCCACGTCAAATATCTTTAAAGTAAAAGTAATAAATGTATATTCTAATGTAATCCGATGTGAGCCTTAAATGACGCTGATGGATTAATCACGCTTCGTTATTCTGTTGCATAATATGAAAATAAATGGTATGTAGCACAAACTGAGAAAAATGATCCCTTAATCGGTATATTGAAAAAGGGGATGTTTTCCGTTGTTTAACTGATAATCCGTTAACTGAAAACAACGCTTAATTCAACGTTACGTAAGGGGAGGGAAAGAGGGGGAATTCGATTTACCGCGAGCGAATATTTACGAACACGTACGCCGTTTATCCACGTGGCATCGAGCGCCAATCGAGCCTCGATAGCGAGGTGGCTGCAGCGAATTATGCACGCGCGGGCAGACGATGAGATCGCATCGCATCGCATCGCATCGCATCGTATCGCAACGAGCCCGCCCGAAATTGATGCGCGATAATAATACGATCGGGTGGAAAATCGAACCCCGACGATTGTGTGTTAACCGCCGATTGTCGATAACGCGCCACGAGATTTCGAGAAGTGACGACGATAATAGGGCTTAATAAGTACATAGTCGAGAAGAACGCACGTTTAGGAGTCGAAAAATTCTTATCTCTCGAAAACTGCACGTAACGTGTACTTGAAAAGTCTAATCAATTTTAAGAATCAATATTTTTTTTTCATTCATCTGTGTCTATTTTCGGGAAAGACTGAGAGGTTTTGTTTTTTCGGATAAATTTGCTTTCTCGACGAGCATAATTAATGGGAAAATGAGAGTAAAGAACGTTTTAAAAACGTAACAGGAGCAAAAATAAATTCACGGAAGAATATCACATTTTTGCAAAAGTGTGCTCTGTATATTTCTTTTATATTGAAGCAAACAAAATACGTTACGAAAGCAATATTTCTATCGTACTTTTCCCCTCACAAACAAGGGATTGCGCACGTACTAAAACAAAATTCACGCAAAACACTGCGGTGATAAAATTTTCTTCTCAAAGACATTTAAAGGGTTAAAGGGCGCGCATAAGCTTGTAAGCTCCAAAGTTAAAGGCGCGCGATATTTTTTTACACCCCTACACCCTTCTATCTTTATAACCGCGTCGGACAAAATACTGCGTTATTGCTTGCCTTTATCCTCCCTGGGAATGTATCTTACGAAGCTCGGCAAGTTCAGATGTGGACAAAGCGAAAAATACCAGCCGCAACTTTGCACCCGGTAGTTTCCTCGATCCCGAGGAAGCTTTATTTTCGCAGGTCGCGGATTACCGAGGGACATAACTGCGTATCAATGACGCTATTAAGCAAGCGCCCAGCCTCTAACAGCTATAACGGGGATGAGGATTTAGAATTTAGATCTTCGGTGGCCTCGTCGGTTACCATAAATTTCGTGTTGCGCGGCTTAAAGCAGATCACAACACTCGCGTAATCTCTTTTCTTCGGGTTAAGCCCGTACCATCGTGCACCGAGGACGGGGACGGTTCTATCGCGCAATCTATTTCCGAGTTAATTACCGGCGAAATAAAGAAGTAGGTCGGACTGTCCTACAATGGAGTAACGAAGTATCGCGCGGGAAAATTGTGATAACGAGCCGAATTTAATTCGAGACACTCGGGGATGCAAACATTCGCGTCATTTTTTACGTAGGCTGATTTAATAATCAAATGCAGTAATTAACTGTACCTTTGTATTCAACAGTTTTACACGCTTCGACGAACTGGCGCGTACAACTTTTCCCACTAATTTCGAATATATAAGTTTGCGCAGAAAAAATTAGGTTCGCTTTAATAAAATGATAATAGAAAGAGTTTCCTGTTAAATTTCGGGAATAAAAATTTATAAAAGTTTTCTCTATTATTTTTTTTTCTAAATAACAAGATATTTGCATCTTGACAAGTTTATCTGCTCCAATTAGAAGATTAATATCAAACTTTATATTCGTAGAGAAGTAAATTTCTCGAAACTATTTCATCTCTAAGTGAATCTCGTGTTAATCTTTGTCCAAAGAATGCACAAGTGCATTTATCACGGCAAAAAATAACGCGAGAAAAGTTTTCTGTTAAATTTCGGGAATAACAATTTATAAAAGTTTTCTCTATTATTTTTTTTTCTAAATAACAAGATATTTGTATCTTGACAAGTTTATCTGCTCCAATTAGAAGATTAATATCAAACTTTATATTCGTAGAGAAGTAAATTTCTCGAAACTATTTCATCTCTAAGTGAATCTCGTGTTAATCTTTGTCCAAAGAATGCACAAGTGCATTTATCACGGCAAAAAATAACGCGAGAAAAGTTTTCTGTTAAATTTCGGGAATAACAATTTATAAAAGTTTTCTCTATTATTTTTTTTTCTAAATAACAAGATATTTGTATCTTGACAAGTTTATCTGCTCCAATTAGAAGATTAATATCAAACTTTATATTCGTAGAGAAGTAAATTTCTCGAAACTATTTCATCTCTAAGTGAATCTCGTGTTAATCTTTGTCCAAAGAATGCACAAGTGCATTTATCACGGCAAAAAATAACGCGAGAAAAGTTTTCTGTTAAATTTCGGGAATAACAATTTATAAAAGTTTTCTCTATTATTTTTTTTTCTAAATAACAAGATATTTGTATCTTGACAAGTTTATCTGCTCCAATGAGAAGATTAATATCAAACTTTATATTCGTAGAGAAGTAAATTTCTCGAAACTATTTCATCTCTAAGTGAATCTCGTGTTAATCTTTCTCCAAGGAATGCACGGGTGCATTTATCACGGCAAAAAATAACGCGAGATAAGCGCGACAAGTAAATCTCGCGTGCTCGCTTTTGTGCGCGCTCCGCAGGAGATTGTTCCGTGCCTTTCGAGCTGAATAAATCGCATCACCTACCGTGATCTTCAAGTCCCGCGGGTCGCATGTGTCGTATCGCCTGCTGAAACGAAGCACTGTGTGCGTCTTGTTCTCGTAACCCAGTAACAGCCGGTAATCCTGGCTCGAATCCATCTGCGGATCCCTGCTGCTGCCCTTCACATGCCGGTCCTGAAAACAAGCGACGACTTAACGTTAAAATCCATGCCAGCAATGCCATAGAATAGTCTATAATGCATCGTCGTGATGCTCACTCGAAAAGTTGGATCGATCGTTGCGGCAAAGATATTCTCTCGAAGGGAGACAAAATTCACCGGACTCGCTCGTACGATACTTTTATCATTATAGAAATTTTTCAGCACGCGATTTTTGACGTAGGCAAAATGAGGAAACGCAAAAATACGCTGCCAATAATTCTCGAGTTTTTATTATGAGGAAGTAATATCGACAATATCGGATATTCCAATATTGAAGCTTCATAACGAATGGATTAATATTGCTTGACATATATTCGACGAATATTCGTCGAAAATTCTAATATCGAATGACATGTCACGTGCGCGCGCGCGCGCGCGCATGGCACATACACGCACGTGTTACCTTTTACTTTAACAAATCGCGACGTGCAGCAGTTCCTCGACACTCATAATCTGTCAATTTTTTTTCCCGATCCTAGGACACGCGGAAGGCGAGATTTTTCCTTTAATCATCAAGGCGGAATTATCTGACAAGCGGAAACGTGTCACGATTATTCCATCCTGCTTGTATTAAATTTATCCGATGCCGTTATCGTTAACAGTTAATCGACTGATTGGTCGTACGTAAATGAATAGACCGAGCACCGTAATTTGCGCGGCCGACATCCTCATTCGAGCCGTGTTTACGACCACCTCATTCTGTTTCGCGCGCGAGTGACGCGAGATTGGATACAGACGCCTCTTGTAATAATAATCGATCTCCAACGCAATCGTGGACCGATCGTGGGACCGACGTTTGCCTTCCCATGCTAGACTATTCGCATTTACAGTTAACCGACACGATCTGTCAAGAACCGGCAATCCTGCGTCCTGCGACTCTCTCTCTCTCTCTCTCTCCCTTTAGTGAAAATATTAATTTACTATCCGCGATCCCCGCTGGCGACGTCGGCGAAACACATGGCTTCGTGCGTTTTCTCTCTTTTTCCTCTCCTCGCTAATTCGCTCCACTTTTCACCCACCGCGATTAACACTCTCTAAGCTCGACCCTCAGCGCTAACTTGGCATTTAAATCGCCAAGTTCTTTTTTCGCGATTTATACGCCGAGTTAGTATCACCATTAGAATTGCAGTGCTAACGATTTTTTATTCTGCTTTTCGAGCAAAGTGCAGCCCAAGATTCTCGCTACCTATCTGTTCTAATTTAAGCGATGCGACGTGAATTTATCTTGATCTTCGACTCGAAGATTTATTTTTCTCAGTTTAATGATTCGGATGTTCTTAATCCATCGCGTACTTTGATAGGGATTCTCTTTAAGCCGATATAGAGTCTGTACAATATTTCACATTTCCTGCGAAATTTTATGCAGGCATATTATCGTGCGAGGCTTGCTAAAACGAAATGTCATCTGAGAAAAAGTGCCGATCGAAAGGCAAAACTATCGATGCAACGTGCATCATAAAAATATTCGCCAGGTTATTATTTTAAATCAGAATTTTACGAGACTGCATATTATATCCTCGTGACATGTCCGACTACAAGTCTTAGTATGCCGTTTAAAAAATGTCAGCAAAGAGACGCGGTAAACAACTTGCTTCCCATGTTCTGCCATAAATTTCGACAATAAAAGTCGAATGGCCGAGCCTCGTAAAATATTACGTTTAACAGAATAAAAATATATTAAGCTGCTTACGCTCCGAGTATTTTATTCTTCCTCAACTTCAAGAAAGAAGAAACAAATTGCTGAATAATCAGAAAATGTTCAATAATAGCTGAATAATCGGAATAGCGGTGACTTTAAATTTTTGCTAATTTCCCAACTCGGCTCGGCCGCTTTGTTCCGAATACCATCGGCATCTTTTTATCGCGCAATTTCTTGCACGATACCGATATTAGAATGCCATTCTATCGTCTTACAAAGAAACGGCCGTTGCCGGCAAAAACGAGCGGCGCCGCGCCTGCTTCGCCTTTTCCCTCGCCGATCGAGTTTCTCGTTGGCTACGACGATCGTCGAACCGAGACGACTACCTTGCGCTCCCCGTTGCAAGGGAGACAAAGGACGAGAACTGAATGTAAAAGTTGGGGCGAATTTACACGGTAGACTCTCGACGAATCACTCAAAAACTGCGCAAAAACGGGACAAATCACGTAAATATTATTGTCGTCGAAAGATCATTGTTCGCGTCGAACGATTTTAGACACGGTTCTTCATTTTCACTCGCCTTGGATATTGAGAGTAAATTATGCAAAATAAAGCGAGATTTAATTTCACTTCCGACTGAAATTATCAAGATTATTTGCACGAAATGTGCTGGTACTGTTGGACGTTGCAGTTTCTCAATCGAGCTTCTTCATTGGACTGATCACACGCAATAACAACACAAATTGCGAGTTTCGCGTTCGAAGTGAGAAATTACGGAGTTATGAAACACGGGATGAGAAAGTTGCAAGTTGAGAATTCAGAGTTTAGAGAACCGACAGTTTACTCAGTCGAGAATTGAGAGTTTATAGTTGACGTTTCAGAGGGATATACAAACTCGACATATCTGCGTGTATGCATATATATATAGCGTAACGCATAACTGAATTATTATACAAATGGCGTACAAAGGACAAATCTTGCCGCGTCCTTCCTCCCTTAAACTTTTTCAAAAGCGGCGAACGTCCGGCTAATGTCGAGTAGCCCACTTTTAGCGCGATACACTCGAACAAAAACGCGTTCATCCAATTTATTTTGGATGATTCATCCGCGGTAATCATCGGGAGCGAAGCGTGTAAATTCGCCTTTAGTTAGGCGATCGCGAGCGAGCGGATCCGGGGACGCTTCTCGGTCCCTTAAGGGCCGAAGACGAGTTTTTCTGCCGAGATTCCGTGCCGTCGCCTCGATATAATTATCGCCCTTTCGGGAACAAGAAGCGCGCCGACGCCCCTCGAACGACTTTTGTTCCATTGTGAGGATCACCCCCCCCCCTCCTCCACCCCCCCCCGTCCTCCGCGGCTTTATTAAAATTTCATTTAACCGCGTACCTACGCGTGCTGCGTGACTCTCGACGAGTCACGCGTGTTATGTCGCCTCCACCCGGTATACACCGGACACCCCTTGTCCCTTATTCTTGCCCGTTTTTTTTTCTCGACTGCCCTGGTCTCACCTGGGCAGCGCTACGTCATTTTTGCGGCCGTCAAAATGCGCGAAGGAGAGAGAATAGGTACGGCTACGTCGACACGCGTTAGTTTCAGCGAGGCGAACGCGCGAAGGTACATATCTCGGTGAAGGGTGAAAAATGAGTGAAGAGCTGAGATTAAAGCGCCATGTGAACTAGACATTTCGAGCTTTCTCGGGCTCACGGGATATCTTTAGAAACTGAAAATTGCAGAGACTATTATTAAACTTACTTGTCGAATAATAACATTAATTTCGACATGTATTTAAATTGATTAGATTTTAATCAAAATTTGCATTTTTTAGTATCGTCAATTTAATACGAAGAATGTACTATTTAAGTCAGCAATGGAAGAAACGCTAAAATGAATCAATAGCAAATGATCACTTAAATTATATATAATATTATTGATATATTTTTTTAGAAATATATTATATATTTAAATAAATTAATTGATAAATAATATATTTATAAATTCAATTAGATGTACACGTAGCGTGATATCTATCCTATTTTTCCCTTTTGTAAAAATAAAAACGGAATTAATTATTACTTCGATAGTCGAGTCATTTTTATTCCATCGTTAATTTTACGCGACTGCATTTTTACGATTGCGAGTAATTCATTCATATGTTCGGCTGGCTCATGGCCGTGTATCTCGCAGTCCGAGTTCTTTTCGTAGTGCGACTGCCTGCGGACGGTATGCGGTTACTCAAAGGTAAGAGGACCGTCTCTCTGACGAAGGATTCGAATTCTTGCACAAGAAAGGGCTTTACCACCGGCGACGCCAAGGCTTTGAACCTTAGACAAGATGGTATTGCTCCCAAGTTCTGATGAAAAATTGAAAGAGAGACGCATGCGTCCGTAGTTAGATGCCTTTCGTATCTCGTAGCTACGTTATTGAGCCATACTTTATTGCGAGGAAGAAATATACTATATTTCTAGAAAATTCGCGAATCGACAGCAGCAATGTATTTGTGTACAAATATAAAAATAGCGTCGCGCATTATTTGAAAAATTCGACGTCGATCCTTTTTTCAATAAAAATATATTAGGTATCGTTCGATATTAATTCAATAACGTCTTAAATTTCGTCTCGCCTCTTATTATTGCAAAATTCCGAGGCTCGCCGCGATGGAATTTCCTCGCGAAGGAAAAATTCCTTGCGACATCGTCGACCGAACCGCGGATCGCATTATCATCGACCGCGCCATGAAAAATTACACAGGAAGGACGAGCGGTGCCTTGTCTCGGCTCGCAACATGCGCGAATTCGCGCGAAACGATGGAGTAATAAATAATTTGCGGACCTGTCTCTCTCCCTCGCTCCCTCGCACGCGCGTAACTTCTTCAATTTCCGCCCCGCCGTCAGAAGCGGAGAACATATTTTTTCCAACCCCTCCTCCCCGGACACCCTTTCCGCCCGCGATCGCTTACCCGAGACATGAGCGATCGAAAAGTCAGACCTCCCACCCGCGAGGTTCTTCCGATACACTCGACCTCCCGATTTTTCCATCAACCCCCTGCCTCCCTCCTTTGACGTTCTCGCTTACTAGTGAGAGCATTCAATCCTTTCCTTCCATCGAGCATCCCGCGACATGCATCATCGATTTTGCGGGGGCGCGAAGCTGTCATGTAGGTCCTGAACATTTTTAGTCTCGTGACACAATCTTATATTATATAAAAAAATATTTAAAAAACTATTCACATATTTCGAATCAATCTGTATTCTCTCTATAAAAATTTCATCGTATTGGTCTGGACTCTATACAAATTTTATCACTGAAATCTACATTCGTTTTTATTCTCTGATTATT